TCGGAGCGGCCGCTCCTGGCGAGGGGCCACGGCAGCCCAAACCCCCCCCTCCTCTGCAGCACTGCAATTCCTGTCCCCCTGCCCGACAGGGCAGAAAAAAAATCTCATTTCTGAACCAAAATAGGAGCACCTGCAGCAACGTAACAGGGCAGGAGAAGTTGAGGAATATCCACCGATAAGAACCGCTGCATATTTCATGCCAGGGATATTCTCAGTACAGCTGTGTAATTGGGAAATTAAATCTTCTGGGTGTTGTCACACATGCTAATTGTGCTAAAGACAGCGAGGGGGAGAAAAAAAAAAAGTCTTCATCTTGCACTTAGCATATATAGTTAGAAGGTAATGACATTTTAAAATTCGTGCTCGCCATCCCCGTGCACAAAGGTGAAAATAATCTAAGTGCGTGGATTTGGAACACAAATAAATTGTGTGTTTGTTTACTGGGGTTTTTTTTTTTCCAAACACTGACAATTACTGGCAGATCAGGGAAATGTGGACTTGCAAATCAGCTTCACCAGCATTTCTTGTTGAGCATGAAAAGTTTTGTGCTAAAACAGACCGTAGGTATCACCATAAATAGCTCTCTGCTCCTTTCGATTTGCTCGCTCTTACTTACAGCTGCTTACAGTTATCTCTGTTTTGTTGTTGTGCAAAGCAAATATTTTGGCTGAAACGTGTCGAAACGCTGTTTTAACTGAGTCATTCATTTGCAATGAATGAAGCATAAAGAATGCATTTTGGAAGCTACACTTAACAGAATTAAAATCATCACGCTGCTCCTTCCTTAAATAAATTCTATCCAGCAACTCGCCTGGGAAATGGATGGCATGAAAACTCCATCTAGCCTGGCTTGGTTCTTATGACATGAGCACAGAGTTAAACCTGTGCCATTGAGGTGTTTTTTTTTTTATTGACTGAAAAGGGAAGAGAGCAAAAATATTCACAGTTGGGTTTGTTCTGACCAGGCTCTTCTTATTGCCCAGCTCTGCTCTCTGTAGCTGTAAGGAGCTGATGGCATCCATACAATCTGCCTTGTTGTTTTGGGCACAGCTTCCACCTTCCCAGGGAGAGCTGCTCTTTTATTATATTCATTTGGTTGAAGTCATTGTGATTACTCATATGCTTAAATTTGAGTATATCTCCTATATATATACACACACATAAATATAGGGTTTAGAGCTTCTCTGATATTTCTTTGGGTCTTAATGATCAAGCAGTGCTTTGTTGGAGGAGGAAGTCTCATGCTATGAAATTAAACTATGAAAGAATCCTCTCCCTGCTGCTTGTGCATGGCGTGGTTGTAGATTCTTTTGGTATTGTAATTGGTGACTGGCTTTGATTAATGTATAGAAATCTATCTTGTCTCTTGTAAGTGCTTTATAAGTATGTTGGAAATCACATTGAACATGGCAAGGGTATGAACAAAGCATCTGTTCATCCAGAGTGAGTAACCATCCACACTGCAAGTTATTGTGGGACACGACTGGCTCTGAGGTGCCAGCACAGCACAGGTGCTCATAACTGATACCTGGGCAGATGGTGAGACAGGGCAGGTATTGACAGCTCCAGAGGCTGGGAAATCCAGTGGGATTTGGCCACTTTAAACTGAGGTTTCCGTGGGATGGGTTGCTGGTTTTCTTTGAAAACCTCAGCCTGATTTGCAAAACTGCTCAGTTCCTCCCCTGCACGTGGCTCTGCTCCAGTCCCAGTGAGAGGAAGGATCACAGCCCTGGATCACAGCCCACACCAGAGCAGTTGGGATGTGAGCAGGGATCCTCAGCTGAGATGCTTCACTGAGCAGAACCATGGAGGCTGCCCATCCAACCAGGGATGTTACCAGGATAGATGGTGCTGGACACGGCTTGGGGCCATCTCTCCATCTGTTCCACCAAAAGCCAATCTACCCCATCAGGGGGAAAGCCCTTCCTACTATGCTGGAGGCAGGAGGCTGTGAAAGGGGCAGCTGATGGGAAGCTCCTCGGTGGGAGGGTGGAGTTGGTAGCTTGGGTCGAGTCTGCTGCAGTGAAATGTTTTACCAGACTCTGCAATTACAACCTGTACCTGTGTGTAATACATGCATGTGAGAAACAGCTGTGGGGAGAGTATTCTCCTGCAATATGCAAATTTAGTCTATTCCACATTTGGTGAAAATGGGTATTTAATGCCACAGGAAGGAATCTGAGAGGATTAAAGCACATTTGACAGGGAGCAGCATCTTCCATCTGCCCTGCCTGTCAATCTGCTTAAAACACCTGCTCTGACAGAAACTGTGAAGATTTTTGTCCCTAATGTGCTGCTGTGAGAGGATGACCTACGAGGGGAACTTTAAATGGTAGCATGTGCCCTAAAATCTTGACCCCTTGAAGTTAAGAGCGAAACTCTTTCAGCTGGAGTGGGCTCAAATCTTTATCTTTGCTCCAACAGCTCACAGCCTGCCCATGATGAACCTTTATCCTTCATTGACCACTTCTGGAAAAAAAATGGGATTAAAGGTCAGTGTGGAGCATGCAGCATCTTCCAGAAGTGCAAGGAAGGCAGCTGAGGTAACCTCGCTGCTGCAGGATGATGTGACCAGCATGGGAGAGGGGGCACTATGGGTGTGGGGTAGGACCAAGCCCTGGAGCTCCAGGATGCCCAGCACAGGGACAAGGCTGGCATGCAAACTGTGCCATGCAGAGCCACAGAGGCTTTGTGTGTGTGTGTGCTGAGCAGTTCCCAGAGAGCCCAAAATCTCTAGAAAGCATTTCCAGGTGCTGCTGAAGCATTTGCCAGTGATAACCTCAAGCCTATGACATGTTAGTGAACTTGGACTGGCAGTTTTCACCCTGTTGGTGCTGCTCACCCTGAGGGCTGCAGATTTGTCCCAAACTCTGCAGTTTTGAGGCACTGCTGCCCACTCCTCCCAGCCCTGTGTGCCTGTGCTCCCTCTGCCTTCCTCAGAGGGTGGCTCTGATCTGCCCACAGTCATGTCAACTGTCAGGAGAAATGATCCCTAACAAGAAGAGATTCTGGAACTGCTTAGCAGGAAATTACTACGTGTGATGTTGCTAAGCAATGTCAGGCTGGCCTGACTGCCCAGAATAACGCTTCTCTGTTGGAAAACCCGGAAAAGGTTGAGGGGTGGTGGGTGGCTGCTGCTTTCTGCTCAGAGCAGTGGAGTCTGGGATACAGCAAATAACAGTCCTTGTCTCGTGGGGCCTGGTGTGACACTTATTGAAAGTGAGAAAGAGCTCTCCCCTGAGGGCAGTGGCAGCTGTGGGATGGACGGGACAAGGTGGGAGCAGCAGGGGATGCACAGAGGTGGAGTTGAGTCCTGCAGAGGGGAGAGGGGTGTACAGAGAGGGGGAACCACCCCCAGAGACAGGGGCTTACAGCTGGGCACAGGAAGAGAGTGCCCTTTGGAAACCCCCTCTCTGCACTCGTGGAACCAGAGCCTGGGTTGTGCTGGTCTGTTTGAGAAGCTGGACTTGGCCTTAGTGTGGAGCAAAGCTCTCAGCATAACAGCTCTTGAGCTACAACAGGTAGCTCTAGTTGGTGAGGCTCTGAGCCCTGTAATCCAGTGGTTTTCCCTCTCATTTCTCTGGTGTTGGAGCAGTAAATTCAGTCCAGCTCACAGGGACACAGGGTAGTGCAAACTTGCTCGTGGGAAGTGAGGTCTCCCTGTTAATTCCCTTTAAGCAATTTCTTTTGGGCAAAGATTTCTTCTTTCTTCCTCCACTGCTTTGCTCTAGTCCTGTCTGATATTAAATATCTCCAGAAGCAGCTACAGTTCGTTGCCAAATTCATCTATTTGTGCAGACGATGTCATATCAATGTCCATTACAGTTTTGCCCCAGCACCACCTCGAAGCAACTTTTCATCTCTGCCAATTCTTCGTTATTTCCACTCCTTATTTATCATAAAACAGAAACTGTAAATGTTTTCAAAAACCAAAAACAAACAGAAAAAAAAAAAAAACAACGAAAAACCCAAACCAAACAAACCCCAGTATTTTAAAGATCGTTTGCAAAGCTGTTGAGTGTATTAACGTGCCAGTAGGAACTGGAGAAGGCAGATGCTGAGTAGGAAGTACATGTTCCTCCTCCACTGGCAGGAGCTGGAGCTGTCAGGGTGTCCCCTGCCATCTGGCCTGTCGGAGCATGTGGCAGATTCACAGCTCTCCGGGGAGGACGCGCTGCAGAGGCCATAGGATCCCATTATGCTGTTTATGGGGACAAGGCAGACATTTGTCTCGGTGAGACGGGATGTCGGTCGGGGATGCTCCAACCACACGCTCATTTCCACAGCTCCTCAAAAAAAAAAAAAAACTCGGAGGTGCGGCTGGTACTCAAAGGAATGTTGATGCTTAAAAAGAACCGCGTCGGAACCCTGATGCGTGTCAGCCAGACGCAGATCCGAAAGCGGGAGGGCACCGAGCCCTCCCCGCGGGGAGCGGGGTCGGTGCTGGTTCTTGGTGCGGGCGCTGAGCGCAGCGCCGCGGCCAGACCGCGCTGTGCCGAACCCCCCCCGCACCGGCGGAGCCCTGACACCGCCTCCCTCATTAGCATCCCTTCCTCCTCCTCCTCCTCCTCCTCGCTGCCCGGCCGCAGAGGGGTGCATGGCAGCAGCGACGGAGCCTCGGCGGCCCCCGGCACAGGCGGCAGCAGCAGCTGCCGAGCCGCGCTCCGCTCAGCACCAGCGCCCGCAGCAACTTTGCCGCTCCGCGGGGTGCGGGAGCGGAGCGATGTGACCGCGCACCCGGCCAGCGGAGCATCCCCGGCAGCGCGGAGCAGCCAGGAGCGAGTGGAGTCCCCCCTGCTTCCCTCCCCGGCGGGGCGGAGCGGAGTCCCCCCGGCGCCTCCCTGGTCGGCGGAGCAGCGCGGATCAGAGCGGAGCCCCCCGCCTCCATCCATCCCTCCTTCCTTCCCTCCCTCCCTCCCTCCCCGGCGGCGGCCGCAGCCCGGGGTGGGAGCGCGGATGCGGCGCGGAGCCCGGCGGAGCCCAGCGCGGGGCCGGGGCCGGGCGGCGCGGGGCGCGGGGGGATGCTGAGCCCCGCCGCCCGGCACCGCGCCCGCCGCCGGGAGATGCTCCTCGTGCTCGCCCTGTGGCTGGCGTGGCAAGAAGCGCCCGCGGCGCCGACCCCCGCGGCGGAGGACATCACCCGGGGAGTTGTGAGTTACCCGCGGCACCCCCTCCCTCCCTCCTCTCCGTTTCCCCTTCCCCCGGTACTCCCCCATCCTCGGGCATCGCCGGTCCCCGCGGTGCTGGGCCAGCTTCGGCGGCTGGAAGCGCTCTCCGGTGCCCGCCTTTGCCGCCAGTGCCCTCCACCCTGCTCCCGGTGATCGGGCCCCTTTACACCGCTGCCCCCTCCAGCCTTATCTACCCTGTGCCTCTCGTTGCACCTGGTGCCCTTCCGTGCACACGGAAGGGTCCGATTATCCCCCTCGCACCCAGTGCCCCCCACCCCGTACTCTGCACCGAGCCCTTTAGAAGCCGGAGTCCCCCTCCTTTAAACCCGGGGGGGGGGTCCCCTTGCACCCCCCCATCCCCTCACGGTGACCCAACTTTCCCCCAGCCCAGCATCGCGGGGTGATGGCCCCACCAGCTTCCGCACATGGATGGTGATTTCCCAGGCGCTGGGAAAGGGCTGGCCTGTCTGGAGGGCTCTCTGCCTGCCACGGAGCCGCACGAACTCCAGCGGCAGGCAGGGTGAAATGGCACGTTTGGAGCCGGAGCGATCCCTGGGGACTGGGACGCGTTAGGGGCTGCTCTGTGCCGGCAGCAGGTGGAGGGTTGGCTTCATTGCGGTGGGTCTGCACATTGCGGGCATCCCTGTGGTCCTGCTGCTCCACTCACAGGTGCCTGCTCAGTTTGCAGGGAGGTGACAGGTTTTAGCAGTCGTTGAGAGCTTAGGTCGTGTCCCAGCCAGGTCACGGTGCCAGCAGGTCTGTACAGCCTCACACCATCTCCTCTGAGAGGGGAGAGATGAAGGCTTTTCTCCTGGAGGAGGAAAAAGTTTCTTGTATCTCCTACCAACCGTAGCTCAGAGAAGCCCCGCGACTACGTCAAACCCGGGTGTCAGAAAGCCATCTGTGGCCGGGTGTGGGCGGGCAGTCCTGGGGCTGGACCTGCCAGTTTGGAGAAATTCCCCAAAATTCAGCGAATTTCGAAACGCTGCCTGTGCACTGCTGTGAAGGAGGGAGGGAGGGTTTGCAGCACGGCAGGGTTATCTAATGAGCAGGGCTCGCACAGAGCAGTGCGCCAGGACGATGCTTCTCCCGCCGAGGCTCGGCCACCAACGCGTGCTCCGGCTCGGGCACCTGCCGGGAAGGACAGAGCGTGTCGTTCTCCATCAGTTCCTAGCAGAACAAAAAAAAAAAAAATCCGGTGAATATAAGGTACATCTGCATCATTACGGTGCAATTACTTCCCCCTGTAACCAAATGTTCAAGCTGGAATTAATATTTCATGCAAACAGCACGCGAATTGATGTATTCTGCCCCAATCAATCTGACTCAAACTTTGTCTTTGACCTGCTTTTATCCTTGCTGCCGTATCCACGCTGCACTCAGCTTTTACAGGGTGAATGTTAATACTCAAGGGGCTGATTAGTTGCTGCCGACAACTTTCAGGCACTATGGAACCCTTTTGGTCCTGGACTGGATTTGAGCAGTAGCTCCAAACCCTGCTGAAGAGCTGGGGCCATCTCACAAAGCAGAAGGTGCCAGGGATGGTGGTTACAGAGCAGGAGTGAAGAGTGAACTGCAGGAGAAGGGGATTACATGAAAAGAAGTCTTATTTAGGCTGGGAAGCCTAAATTTAGGCTGTCAGATGGTTGTCTCTGTGCTGTCTCCCCTCCAGCGGGTGTGCTTGCTGGGGGCAAATAATCTCTCCAGCTTGAGACAGCACTGGTGGGATTCTGAAGGGGCTGAACGTAGCTCTTGGTTGTGTTTATGCCCTCTAATGAGCAGCAGGGAGCACAAGATGCCAGGTATTTTCAGAGGTGTTTGTCAGGAAACTACCACTGTGTGTGGGAAGTGAGAGCCTCAAGAAGAATTATTTGACATCCGCTTTATGAAGCAACGAAGAAATTAAAGATCTGTGAGGCATTTAAATCAAATATTTGAAAACTAGGAAGCATGAAACCATGGCAATAGGAAGCTCTGCTAACCTTGGAAAATTATATCCAGCAATTCTCTGCAGTAAACAGAGCACCATATCAACAAGAGCTTTTACATCCCAAGCACTCCCCCCTTGCAGCTGAGAGGCTCTTGGTGCCGAGCAGGATGGTGCCTCTGAGCTGTGTCCTCTGCCTCACTCCTGCTATAAGTTTGTTTTAAATGAAACAGTGGTGCTGGGCCAAATTAAAGTTCAGCAAAATGAGAGAGGGCTATAACTCAAAGGCAGTGCTTGTTAGAGCGCTGCCCAAAGCAATATAACATGGAATGATTCTCCAGATTTCATTACTAGTGGAATATCCTGCCCAGTTTATAAATCTAACTTGATTATTAATGTTTTTATTGTTCTCCATTAGCTGCCCTAACAAAGAGGGCATAAAACAGCAGATGGAACAGGGCTTGACTTGAGTGATTCCATTGAATTTTAGTGCGCCGCTTTCGGGATTTACGACTTTGCTTTTCGCGCTGCTGCCTTTACAGTAAACCCCAACCCCTCCCCTCCCCGGCCTTCACAAATTGCATCTTTTTATGGCTGTTGAGCTCGGGCGTCTCAGGGGTGCGAGGCAGCGAAACCTCTGTGTGCGTTGGTAGTAACTGAGTAACGAGAGCTCTCACCCCAGTGGGCTTTGCACCGGCTCTGGGGGGAGGTCTCCCTTCAAGTTGCGCTTCTCAGAAGAGCCGGCGTGCGGAGTTTGAGCGGCGAAGGTGTTGACCTGGAGAGCGGCTGGTTTGGAACGGAGACGGCTGGGAAACGGGCAGCTCCTGCCCGTCCCTGCCTGCTGCAGGTGCGCAGCTGTACAGCTGTGGCAGGGCAGGAGCCCTGGCTTGGGGATGGGATGATGCTCGAGGCTGATCAAGCATGGCTTGAGGGAGGCACTTTGCCCTAGGGTGTTGCTCGGTCCTGGGGTTGCAGGACAGGAGTTGGTGGTGCAGTGGTAGCGGTGGTGGCCTCACTGAGATCATCCCGTGTGGACATGGGCTCTGGTGTCAGCACCCAGGGAAAGTTTTAGTTTGGTTGCAAGAGCATGGGTGGGGGGAAAAAAAAAAAAAAAAAGACTGCGAGGGTCTTTTTCTTGACTTTGTGGCCAAGGGTGAGAGGGGAGGTCTGTTCATGCCCCCAAGGCGTTTCTCCAGCTGGGGATTGCCGGGCATTCCTGGGGGCTTGCGTATGACCCGATGCCTCTCCCAGCCTCCCGCTCACAAAGCGCCGTCTGTGTTGTTCCCGGAGAAGTTGCTCCCAGGGGATGGAGGCATTTGCATTCATCGGTGGAGACCAGGGACCCGCGTCCCCCTCTGCCGGCGTCCCAAGCGGCTCTTTGTTCAGGGCAGGGCCCTCGCCTTTGTGGCAGCGTCTCATTTGAATGACAAGGATGCACTTGTGGGGTGGCACAGAGCCCTGTGAGGCTGTGCCCACCCCCCCGGCTGGCTGCGGTGGGCTGGGGGACAGACAGAGGTTCCTCTGTGTCCCCACGGCAGGGAGAGGAGGGGCAGGAGTAGCAGCAGTTTCCTATGAGTCTGTGCCCCCCGTCTCACAGGTGCCAAATTTCAGA